CTGCAATATTCCAGCTAACAGTAATTAACAGAACTGAACTACATTTTCCTAGCAATGGTATATAAAGACAGTTGTAGCTTGCTATAACAATCCCTGTTTTCCATACTGGCGATTGAATGATTAAAAAGAATGGCTGGCAAAACTGGAACACTTGAGAAAAGTACAACAGTTCCCAGCAGACAACAAATTATCTTGTATGATGCTAGTATCTTACCAAACCCAGGGCATCATCTTCTGGGTCTCTGGACATGTACTCTGATTAAGTAAAAGTAAGGTCCAAGGATAGTCAGACAGGGATAGAAGTTGCTGGGATTTCTCTTGTTCAACACTGCTGAGAAAGACCTTCTTTTCTTTACTTACCTTACTTATTCTTCCTTACAAGTAGTGGATGTGCTCTCTGAACTGTGGTCAGCTATGGCAGATTTCTTCTCAGCCAGCAGCCAAGTCTTTTCCACACCTGTCTAGTTTGAAGACTGCCCTCTTTCCTTTCCTCCTACTCCTCCTTACTTTGTTGCATCAGCCAATCATCATCTTCTAGGTTTGATCGTAACCCTGCCAAGATGGCTGTCCTCTGTGCTGGAGACACTCCATAGATGAACCTTACAAAGTGGTCTCCTTAAAGATGGCTGCTGCACTTCTGCAATAATAAATATTTAGTTTAACACTTTCCACACTGCAGAAGGATAATACAACAGCAACAAATGACGATGTTCCACAGCAGTTATCAGCTATAATCCAGGTTACAAGCATATAATGACTAAAGACTATAATTTTTATATTTTATGTTTAGTTCAGTAGAATCGGTGCACCTTTTTTATGTTTGCATTTTTCAGTTACCCCCAAAATGTTGTTTCTAATTTCTGTTATATATCTCCATCTATTTCTTCCAAATTGTTTTTTTATCTAGTGTAATGATAAATTGTGTTTTCTTGACAGAATATGGAAGCAGTTTTCTTTTAGCAAGAATCTTAACATCGACTTACTTTAGTAAGAGGATAGTTTGTTTATAGATGGTAACTGGAGCACCCAAAGGCAACCCACATAAGCATGATGATCATAAACAAACTCTATGTAGACAGTGTTCTTGTGGGAATTGAACCCAGAATCACCACACTGTAAGTTTAGAGTACTAGCTACAGTAAAGTCATATCTAACAATCAGAAACCCTCAACAGACTGACCCACAGGTTATTCACCACTGCCAGAAGACATCATAATTTCGTCTTTCAGACATGCCATAATTGGCTTCTTCAATGTGAACGCTACAAACCTTATATGAAAAAGACATATTGAGAAAAAATAGGGCACACTCACTAGTAAGAGGTCACTTATTGTAAAACATAACAATAACCATAAATGACTGTGCTACTGAAATATTTCCCAAGTCAATAAATTTAAGAATTGCTCTAGGAAACTTTAAATGTTCAGAGATCCTCTGTGTGGTAGGTCAATTCTACAGCACATATCGGTAATTGAAAAAGAAAAATGATAGCCCTGGGGATGCTTGAGATGGTGTCTGTGCAATACTATATTTAATTAGGAAATGGTTTGTAATGCCATTCTCCAGTTCATGTGATATTATTAGGTTCTGGGAAATACTTTACTTCAATTACTTATCATACCACATTAAATTTGTTCCATGCATTGAAGTCACCAATGCTTGGGCTATTCATTGCTTATTCAAATATTTCTGTATGCAGTCTAGAAAAAAAATATTGCGAATAAAACAAAGACAGTATTACAGTATATGTAAATGTTGCACTATATAGCAACAGGTTAAATATACACTGCTCAAAAAAATGAAAGGAACACTCTGAAAACACATCAGATCTTAATGGGGAAAAATATTATGCTGAATATCTATACTGATATGGGCTGGGTAGTATGTTATGAACATAAGGATGCCCCATCATTTAATGGAAATGAAAATGATCAATCTACAGAGGACTGAATTCAAAAGCCACTCCCCCCGAAATTTAAAGTGAAAATATTATACAGCAGACTAGTTCATTTTGCTGAAATTTCATTGCAGCAAGTCAAAATGATACTCAGTAATTTGTATGGCCCCCACATGCTTGTATGCATGCGTGACTGCGTTGGGGCATGCTCCTAATGAGACAACGGATGGTGTCCTGGGGTATTTCCTCCCAGATCTGGACCAGGACATCACTGAGCTCCTGGACAGTCGGATGGACCGAAAACGTGATATCCCAGAGGTGTTCTATTGGATTTAGATCAGGCAAGCGTTGGGGCCATTCAATGAGATCAACTCCTTCATCCTCTAGGAACTGCTTGTATACTCTTGCCACATGAGGCCGGGCATTGTCGTGCACCAGGATGAACACAAGACCTACTGCACCAGTGTAGGGTTTATCATTGGGTCCAAGGATTTCATCCCGGAACCTAGTGGCAGTTATGGTGCCATTGTCTAGCCTGTAGAGGTCTGTGCGTCCCTCCATGGATATCCCTCCCCAGACCATCATTGACCCACCACCAAAATGGTCATGCTGAATGATGTTACAGGCAGCATAATGTTCTCCACGGCTTCTACACTGTCCCATGTGCTCAGGCTGAACCTGCTCTTATCTGTGAAAAGCACAGGGCACCAGTGGCGGACCTGCCAATTCTGGTGTTCAATGGCAAATTCCAATCAAGCTTCATGGTGCTGGGCAGTGAGCACAGGGCCCACTAGAGGATGTTGTGCCCTCAGGCCACCCTCATGAAGTCTGTTTCTGATTGTTTGGTCATAGATATTCACACCAGTGGCCTGCTGGAGGCCATTTTGTATGGCTCTGACAGCGCTTGTCCTGTTCCTCCTTGCACAAAGGAGCAGATACCAGTCCTGCTGATGGGTTAAGGACATTCTATGGCCCTGTCCAGCTCTCCTATAGTAACTGCCTGTCTCCTTGTATCTCATCCATGCTCTTGAGACTGTGCTAGGAGACACAGCAATCATTTAGGCAATAGCATATATTGATGTGCCATCCTGGAGGAGTTGGACTGCCTGTGCAACCTCTGTAGGGTCCAGGTATTACATCTTGCTACCAGTAGTGACACTGACCCTAGCCAAATGCAAAACTAATGAAAAACAGTCGGAAAAGGTGAGCAGGGCAAAAAATGTCAGTGGCCTCCACCTGTAAAACCATTTCTGTTTTTGGGGTCATCTCATTGTTGCCTATCTAGTCACCTGTTGTTAATTTCATTAACACCAAAGCAGCTGAAACTGATTAACAACCCCCTCTGCTACTGAACTGACCAGATCAATACCCCAGGAGTTTAATTGACTTGAATCAGGTAAGGAGAATTTTTAGCAGTGTTAGTCAAAGACAACCATGCACTAGGATAGTCTTTGCTGAAGCTGACATGCACAGCCAATGTTCAGTACTTGCCGGGAAATCTTCTCCAATTCCCATCCACTACATGCCCTTCTATGAGCTATACAATGGCACCTCTGTTGTTGGTAAAACAAGATGAGAAAGCAGTCTCCTGTCACCAAAAGCTCCACACCAGCAACAAATACTTTACAAAGGTGTATAAGCAGTGATTGTTCGATTTGATAAATAAGAACAATCATTCACTATTTGTAAACATTTTTCAACAGTCTTATATAACCTGTAGCCGATTCATTATTGCAAATAGTGCTTAAATCTATTGCAGGGTACTCTAAGGATAAATAAAAAAAAACAGATGTCGGTAGAGAGTAAATGCACTTCTAGCATATCCCACTTGAGTTCACTAGTGGTGATGAAATCTACCCAGGTTTCATTCCCCAAGTGTTTGGTGAAACTTGTTTGACATTCAGTGAGTCCAAATTTAGAGGTGACTCTGACTGAAGTCTATGGGGAGGATCGATGACTTGCAGATAATATCTATACATTTTTAGGGCTAAAATACAAACTATCACCAAATACGTGAAATGAGAAACTGTCCACTGCAAAAGGGACCAATGCAAAAATAACTGGCTTTTCATGCTGTGAAAAGGACAACTTTTAAAATGCATAAATGCACAATTTTCACAAACACATTCACAGACGGCTTACACTGGCATACATTTTACTTTTAGAACAAGCCTTTTTTTTCAGGTAGCTTTGGTAGCAACAGTAATATGCCCTCTATGATCGGCAGATTGGCCAGTGTGGCTGTCCCTGATTGCGCTGATGCAAAACTGTTCTGTCACTGATCATTTCCAATCAAGCTTTCATTGAGAATTAAGAGACTGCAATACATCTACAGCAATACAGGAGTGTAAAATGAGCCATCCGCAGGACAATTTTAACCACTTCATATCCAGACACTTTTATCGCCTTCTTGTCCAGGCCAATTTTCAGCTTTCAGCGCTATCACACTTTGAATGACAATTGCACAGTCATGCAACACTGTACCCATATGAATGTTTTAGCATTTTTTTTGAGACAGATAAAACTTTATTTTGGTGGTATTTATTCACCACTGGGATTTTTATTTTTTTTGCTATATAAATTAAAAAGTCTAAAAATTTAGAAAAAAAGTGTTTTTCTTATAAAAATTTGCAAATAAATAATCTTTCTTCATAAATCTTGGTTTGAAATGTATTCAGTTATCTTTTTAGTAAAAAAAAATAACCCAAATTAGTTTATAACCAAAAATTATAATTTTTTAAAAATGTTTTTTACATGTTTATTTTATTTTTTTATTTTATTTTTTTTTTTATATTATTATTATTATATTATTATTTATTTATTTATTTTTACATACTGTCACCCTAGCAGTACAGTGTTACCATAGTGACACTGTACTACTTTTGGGGGGTGAAGATGATTTTTTTTTTTTACACTGATATACCCATAAAGGCTGTAAGAGCAATCATTTCTCCTTCTCTCTGTCTGCATTCTTGCAGCCATTGAGAAATACTGTGTGAGCTGTGATTGATCACAGCTTGTCACATGGAACAAGGATGTTGTGAATAGCCTTGTACCATGTGATCTCTGTGATCATTCACAGATTTCACACGTAGTAAGCAATGATGTCAGAAGTGACATCTTGTTTACTACTATTCATGTGATCACTGACTGGCCAATCAGTGATCACATGATCGGGACCAAATACAGAGTTCCCGTAAAACAATAGGCGTTCCACTGTGTTGGAGGACACAGCGGGCACCGGATCGCGGTGCCGTGCGCTCCCAGGGAGCGCGCACAAGTAGGGAGCAGGGTGGCCATTTATAAACAGCCACCCGCCGCTGCACTGCTCCTGTCCGGCCATTTATATACATGGGCCGGAAGGTAAGTGGTTAAACAAGAAGAACAGGCCTGGTAGTTGTATTGGGAAAAACATTTAGTTTTGTTTTCTTTGTGCAAAGCCCTTCCATGGGCATCATGCTTTAAAAGCTAGTTATGAATTAGGGTGCTTGCCATTTTTGTTTAGGTCATAGGTTTTGTGTTTGGATTATTTTTATAAAGAGAGATTAGACTTGATAAACAAAGGTCAACTTTGCACAGGCTAAAACTGATAAATAGAATCCACATTTTACTACAGTCCCTTGACTGAGAACGATACAGACAAGCATGAAAGCCCTTAGATTTTACTGCTCTAAAACAGTCTGAGTGATACAGTTTCATACAGTTTTCAAGTAGCAGAAAATACCTTATTAATTAACTTATGTTACATGATTGTTAACTACTTATATAAGCTTAAGCACTCAATGCGTTGAAGCAGATGGTATCCTTGAAAAACCAAATAAATCTACTAGAGGATTAAAATCTATTTGTTTCCAGCAGACTAGCACAAAGTTAATTTAAACACAGTCACATTTTAGAAAGATGTGACATTATTTTGAAGACATAGATCTCCAATAAAAAAAAGTTATGCACCTAAATCTGTGTGGTGCATTTTTGTTTGGAAGGCTTTTTGAAAATTAATTCTACCTTTTTTTTTCTAAATTCTAGCTTCCCTATGTACCAATATTCCATTATTGTATCTCTGTTGCAGAAAAGAAAATGCTTTCTATGTATTTTAACACCTTCCCACCCGACCTCTTGTAATATGACAGCTGCACAGGATCCCTATTATCAAGGGAGGACATCACATGACATCATCCCAGGATTGCACCGTGCTCTGGAGTGATGTGTCACCAGCTGTGTTCACTGGACACAGCTGATGACTGATCATTGTACTGGCCTACTGTTGGTATCATGTCATTGCTGTGACCAATTACAGCAGATCACATGACAATTGTAAAGAATGAATGGCTTCCTTTCATGCCATTCATTGCTAACAATTGTGCTGCTATCTGTGAGTGATCACAGTGATCACATGGTACAGACAGGGCCAACCACAGGTCATCTGTACCATGTGATCAGCTGTGGCCATTCACAGTTAATCACAACTACTGAATGAATCAGTTTCATTCAGTAAAAATGACTGTTTATACTTGTGAAATTCACTGGTATAAGCAATCATAATGTGTAACATTGTATTGCTCTGGTCACAGGAGTAAAAAAAAATAATTAAAAAAAAAGTAATACAAAATTAAAAAAATAAAATAAAAGATTCATTATTTATTATTCTTTTTTATTATTCTTTTTTTACATACTGTCACCGGTCAGTGTCCCTGACTGTACTTTGTTCATTGGTGACTGTATGTAATAAAAAAAATGTAAACATTTTTTTTAATCTTCATTTTCTACAAAAGTATGACAAAAAATGACAACTTAAAAAAACTCGCCATGCCTCTTACTAAATACCTCAGACTGTCTGAAAAGCTGAAAATTGGCCTGGGCAGGAAGGGGAAAAAAAGTACCCAGTATTGCGGTGGTTAAGAAAAGGACTTACCTCAGCCTCTAGCTTGTTCCATAAAAAATGTCATGACTTCCTGATATGTAGGTTTAGGACATGGAAACTGTTAAGACACAGGGATGAGTTCACCAGCTGACCTCATTAGCACAAGCCCAGCACCTGCCTTCACCCTTCAGGAGATGGCTTCCACTCCCCTCTGTAATGACATGCAGGCAGTAGTATTGAAAACAGAAGTGTGGCCCTGGAAGGCTCTATATAATCTAATTGTACAATTTCCTTTATATCTACCATCAACTACAGTATGTAGTGCAAGGACCTGTTCAATCGAATGCAGAGTGAATGGATAGATAGGTGGGTCCTTCTTTTCAATAGTTTTGATAAATCTTAGGGAAATTGTACAGAAATTGTACAATCCTTTTTTCCCAGACCTTTCCCCTGTATACTTCCCTGTAATGACAGGCTTATATAAAAAGTCTGTATATTTGTGGCTCCATACAAACCATAAAACTAATCCTTACCCTGCTTAAGCAAGTTATGGCTACTCCTTAAAGACAACCTTAAGCAAAGCAATCCTGATTGTAAGAAGCATTTCGACTTGTTTAAAGAAGAATTATAGGTATGACTTTTATTACATAGTTACATTGGTTCAGTTGTTTGATCCTGATAGAAACTAGAAATAACTGTATTAGACATCTCTACTCCACTGGCTTCTGGTTCCCATGCCGAGCAGCTGCTCTGCTGAATTGTGAACAAAGTAGGTTGGCTGCTGGGCAATGGGGGGCATTTTCTGAATGGATGCAAAGAATTTTCTGATTGGACACAGTGGAGATCATGACATCTCCACCTCATCTCTCCACCTCATTATCATTGAGAAAATGCAAAGCAATCTCTGAATGGTGCCTGGGCTGGGGGCCAAACTCCTGTATTCACAATGCAGCAGGACAGCTAATGGAGATCACTGGAGTAGCGGTCTCCACTACAGTGATTTCCAGGTTCTAGAGTGATCCTACAGGTACAGTTTATGGATAGTTACATTAGTCCAGTCTATAAATAAATTGGAATACTGGGAGTAAATGCAGGTACCTTGGAGCATTGGGAGTAACTGCAAGTAACTTGGAGTACTGGAAGTAACTACAGATACCTTGGAGTATTGGGAGTGACTGCAAGTACCTTGAATTACCAGGAGTAATTGTAAATAAATTGGAGTACTGGAAGTACCTGCAAGTACCTTGGAGTTCTGGGAGTAACTGTACACATTTTGGAGTACTGGGAGTAACTGTTGGTGACTTGGAGTACTGGGAGTAACTGCAAGTATCTTGGAATACTGGGGAAATCTTGTAGAAACTTGGAGTATGGGGAGTGAAAAATAACTAGGAGTGATTTGGAATAACTTGGAGTGGCTAAAAATAAAACTATGTAGTGAGAGAGGAAAAACAAAAAAAAAAAAAAAACTCAACTCTAATTTTTCCAGGAGCATCCTCATTAGATATAGCAGGTAAAATACCCAACAGGATTGCGATCCAGTGCACATCCTGCTTCATGTATAAGTTCCTTGAAGAACCATTTGAGGGCAAATACTGCTGTGCGAAATGTGAGCTGTTATTTCTCTGGAAGCCCAGATTCTGTAATCAGGTGGCAACATTGCGGAGCATCAATAACCTGGAAAGGAGCTTGGACGTTACCCAGCAGGTACTGACATGGGCCAGTATAAAGGGGGGTAGGAATATGGAGGTACAGGAGCCAGATGTAGATAGCTGGGTGACAGTCAGAAGGAGGGGCAGAGGGAAGAGCCTAAGAGAGGCCAGTCCTGAGTTGATACATCCCAATAAATATGCCACGTTGCAAGACATTGGGTATCAGCTCAGGGGTGGCATGACTGATGGCCTCCCTCCCCTAGCTGCCAGGGAAATAACTGGTCCGGTAAAGAGGGGGCAAGGATACAGGCAGGGCTAAGCAGATGCTGGTGGTAGGGGACTCAATTATTAAGAGGACAGATAGGGCAATCTGTCAAAAAAGACCATGATCGCCAAATGGTATGTTGTGTACCTGTCGCTCGGGTTTGGCACATCGCGGATTATTGGGTGAGGCTGGGGAGGACTCAGTTGTCATAGTACACATTGGTACTAATGACAAAGGTAGAGGAAGGTGGAGCGTCCTAAAAAAATATTTCAGACTTAGGGGCTATATTGAAGAAAAAGACCTCCAAGGTGGTATTCTCAGAGATACTACATAGTGCCACACCAGAGAGGCAGCAGAAGCTAAGAAAACTTAGCAAGCGGCTGAGGAATTGGTGCAGAAAAGAGGCTTTTGAGTTTCTGGAGAACTGGGCTGACTTTTCAGTTGGATACCAGCTCTATAGTAGGGACAGACTGCACCTTAATGGGGAAGGTGCAGCTCTGTTGGGGGAGAGGATGGCCAAAACATTGGAGGGGCTTTTAAACAAGGTTGCAGGGGGGAGGGATCAGAGAAAGCAACAGCCATCAACAAGCAAAGGTCAGAGGGTGCTATAAACATAATAAATAAACCCAGGGTGAGTGGGTTGGCAAAGCATAATCACAACCACAAAAAAACTAAGAAGGAAATAATATGCACTGGTACAAAATTAAGAGGCATGTACACAAATGCTAGATGCTTAGCTAACAAAATGGAGGAGCTGGAGCTGCTGATTTGATAGCTCACATGATTGGTCAGCCTCTATCCAGGGATATTCCTTGTATCAGAGGGACACAGAGGGTAAAAGATGTGGAGGGTTTTCCTGTATATCAAAAATTATTTGCTAGTAAATGTGAGAGACGACATTGCAAATGGGGTGCAGGGTGAGGTGGAATCCCTGTAGGTGGAACTCCAAAGGGAAGAGACATGTGGGAAAACAATAATGGGGATATACTAACAGGCCCCCTAACCAGAAGGATGAGGAGAAGTTGGATCTCCTGTCACAGGTAGAAATGGTGAGAAGGCAATGCAATGCCATCATTATGGGGTACTTCAACTATCCAGATATTGACTGGGCAGACAGAACAGCTCACTCATTTAAGGCCCATCATTTCTTAAATGTCTTACAGGACAACTTCATAAGCCAGTCAGTTCATTCCCCAACTAGAAAGAATGCAATAACACAGATCAGGTCGCAGATGTGGAAATATGGGACAACTTGGGAAACAGCAATCATAGGATAATTACATTCAATATACAGTCAGGTCCATAAATATTGGGACATCGACACAATTCTAAAATTTTTGGCTCTATACACCACCACAATGGATTTGAAATGAAACGAACAAGATGTGCTTTAACTGCAGACTGTCAGCTTTAATTCGAGGGTATTTACATCCAAATCAGGTGAACGGTGTAGGAATTACAACAGTTTGCATATGTGCCTCCCACTTGTTAAGGGACCAAAAGTAATGGGACAGAATAATAATCATAAATCAAACTTGATTTATGATTATTATCAAACTACAGCCTGAAGTCTGGAACACATAGACATCACCAGACGCTGGGTTTCATCCCTGGTGATGCTCTGCCAGGCCTCTACTGAAACTGTCTTCAGTTCCTGCTTGTTCTTGAGGCATTTTCCCTTCAGTTTTGTCTTCAGCAAGTGAAATGCATGCTCAATCGATTCAGGTCAGATGACTTGGCCATTGCATAACATTCCACTTCTTTCCCTTAAAAAACTCTTTGGTTGCTTTTGCAGTATGCTTTGGGTCATTGTCCATCTGCACTGTGAAGCAGCGTCCAATGAGTTGTGAAGCATTTGGCTGAATATGAGCAGATAATATTACCCGAAACACTTCAGAATTAATTCTGCTGCTTTTGTCAGCAGTCACATCATCAATAAATACAAGAGAACCAGTTCCATTGGCAGCCATACATGCCCACGCCATGACACTACCACCACCATGCTTCACTGATGAGGTGGTATGCTTAGGATCATGAGCAGTTCCTTTCCTTCTCCATACTCTTCTCTTCACATCACTCTGGTGCAAGTTGATCTTGGTCTCATCTGTCCATAGGATGTTGTTCCAGAACTGTGAAGGCTTTTTTAGATGTTGTTTGGCAAACACTAATCTGGCCTTCCTGTTTTTGAGGTTCACCAATGGTTTACATCTTGTGGTGAACCCTCTTTATTCACTCTGGTGAAGTCTTCTCTTGACACACATACACCAACCTCCTGGAGAGTGTTCTTGATCTGGCCAACTATTGTGAAGGGTGTTCTTCACCAGGGAAAGAATTCTTCGGTCATCCACCATAATTGTTTTCCATGGTCTTCTGGGTCTTTTGGTGTTGCTGAGCTCACCGGTGCGTTCCTTCTTTTTAAGAATGTTCCAAACAGTTGTTTTGGCCATGCCTAATGTTTTTGCTATCTCTCTGATGGGTTTGTTTTGTTTTTTCTGCCTAATGATGGCTTGTTTCACTGATAGTGACAGCTCTTTGGATCTCATCTTGAGAGTTGACAGCAACAGATTCCAAATGCAAATAGCACACTTGAAATTAACTCCGGACCTTTTATCTGCTCATTGTAATTAGGATAATGAGGGAATAACACACACTTGGCCATGGAACAGCTGAGACGCCAATTGTCCCATTACTTTTGGTCCCTTAACAAGTGGGAGGCACATATGCAAACTGTT